AAATTTTTTTTTTATAATCTAAAAATAAATACTATAAAAAAATAATCTATATTTTCAAATATTATTATATCAAATTTTATTTAAATATTCTAAATTATTAAAAAAATAGATTAGTAGCATATTTATAATACCAATACAGGCAAATTTGCTTGTATTGGCTTATAGTCTAAGGGATATATTTATATAAAACTCGCTTTTTCACCTCTACTTAACAAGCTACTTGGCAATAACAACTCTTTGATATTTAACAAGAAGCAGATTCTGTTGATACCTATATTAATCATTTTAAAAAACTTTGTAATTGAATTAACCCTAATGAAAGATTCTTAAAAGATTTTATTAAACAACTTTTGTTCAAGGTCTTCAATCTGATTTGGCTATTTATATACAAGCATCTGAACTTGCAGATATAAATGCTACAATCGAAACAGCCAGAAGATAAGAAACTAAAAAAATGTTAGCTTCTAAATCTACTAATAAAATAGAAAATATTATCTAAGATTTAACTAATAGTCTTAAAAATATAAATTTTAATTTAGTTTAGCAAAATAATAAGAAGAAAGCCTATACTATTGAAAGTGGTTATAATTCAACCAATTAGAATCAGAGAAAAAATAGAAGTATAGACTCAACTATTTATTGCTTTTGATATAATAATCTAGAATATATTGCTATACAATATTAACTTAATAAAAAAAAGAATTGTTCTAATTGAAATAGAGATTTTAGAAATTAGAATCTCAAAATTATAGAAGAAATCTATTTAGAAATCAAAAAAGATACAAAAGGAATACTCAAGATTATAATCAATATGACAGAAACAGATCTAAAAATTATAATCATTATGATAGAAGCAGGTTTAGAAGTTAGTTTAAAGACCAGAAAGTCTGTTATAGATTTTTTATTCATCAATATATCAATTTAGCTAATAATAAAGAAACTATCTCTATTAATTATTGAGATACTCTTTAATCAATACTAGCATTAGAGAAGCATTAGCAAACTATTTGCAAGATAACTCTAATATTGTAAATCTGATATACTCTAATAGACTATAAACTATTCCTGTAAAGTATCAAACAACTATTCATAATAAACTATTTACTGCTATTATTAATAGTAGAGCTGCTATCAGTATAATTACCCAACAAGCTGCTAAAGAAATTAAATTAGAAATAAATATTTATTTAAATAGTTTGATCTCATCTACTCTTAGAAAACAAGTTAAACCTTTAGATATTATTAAAGATATTTCTGTAAAAATTGCAGAAATTATTATTTCTATTTCTATAGAAGTTGTACCAACAACTATTTACTTTCTTATTTTAGAAAATGATTGGTCTTGCAAGATAGAAGCTAAATATGATTAGAAAACTAAGAAATATATCATGCATTGGAATAGTTATTATATTATTGTATCTAGAGGTCTAATTTAGTTAAAAAATATATATTTAGATATTCATTTGTTCAATTTTTCTAATATTTGAATATTCATTTGTTCAATCTGAATATTCAATAAATATTCAATGAATATTATAACTATAGAACTTATTTATGTTACTAGTTATGACCCAATTAAGTTTTATTTTATAAACTAATTTTTTATATAGAATATAACTACAGTAGATAATATTACAAATCTGTATTTATAAATATACAATATATATAGTAATTAAAAACTTCAAATAATACTATATAATATAATATTAAAAACTATTAGCTAAGTTTTAATTTGAATAAACATAATTACAATTACCTCAAACATACCATCAAAAAATTTTTAAAATATAACTAAAAGCCAATTATAATTAAAAATCAGATATAATATAATACTAATATAACATAATCAAAAAATTAAAAACAAATATTTTTTGTTATATAAAACTTACTTATAACTTTAAAAAACCATCTTTAGTACTCTAATAAAAAATATTTCTTAAGCAATTTTATCAAACCCAAATATGAATACTAATTCTAATATTAATAAACTTTTTAAAAATTTGTTAGTAAAAATTTTTGAGTAGTTATATAATTATATTATAGTATATGAAAAAAAGATATATACAATATTGGGCAAAATTTGTCAAATAATAGTAATGAGGAGTTTTAGAATTAAAAAAAAATAATATATTTTGAAAATAAATAGGAGCTTAAAAAATCTTATTGAGGAATTTCAGAATTAACATGCAGAAATCTAATTTTGACAGGGATAGACAACGTATTTATTTTCAAATAAGTGATATATCAACTTTATTTTATTTTCTGATAAAATTGTAATAATAATTTTTGTTATTGATAAGTTTATTTATTTCATTAAATAGGAGTCTTTAAATACTTCGATTTCATTTTCTGGTTTCAAAATTTGATATATAAATAAGATTTTTAAGCTTCTATTTATTTTCAAAATATACTATTTTTTTTAATTCTGAAACTCCTCATTTGTATATCAAATTTTTGAAATCGGAAAATGAAATAAGAGTGTTTAAAGACTTTCATTTAATGAAATAAATAAACTTTTTTCAACAACAAAAATTATTATTACAATTTTATCAGAAAATAAAATAAAGTTGATATATTGCTCATTTGAAAATAAATATATTGTCTATTTCTGTCAAAATTAAATTTCTGCATATTAATTCTGAAACCTCTCAATCTTGTTATCTAGCAATTTATGATCATAATTGATAGAAGATCAATAACTGAGTTTTAATTTAAATAAACATAATTATATTGTAATATATAGAAAAATAAGAAATATAAATTTATAAGTTTTTAATATTAATTGGCAAATCACAAGTCATCTGAACAAATATATTTTTTTTATATATAAATTTTACTATATAAGTCCAAATATGAAACGCGCCTATCTAAAACTTTTTTTTTACTAAGTAAATCACTCTTAGACTTGTAATAAAGTTGTAAAGCTCATCAAGAATTAGAAAAATTAGAAATGAAACATATTCATGTAAATCATTCAAAGCAATTAACTCAAAGACAAAGATTAAAAAAAA